TTTTTAATAATTACATTCATATACATATTAACATATATAAAATACAACTTTCTATTTATCCCGTACATATGTTTGATATTTTTGAGAATTATTTTATATAATTATAGTATATAATTCTTACAATAATGATACTCTGTAAAAAAATGATTGAAGTATAACTTTTTTTTACACCAACTACAAATTATAATTGCAATATTATCTTCGTAGGTACATACAGGTTCTTCTTTTATGGCAAAGCAAAATTCAACAGGATTATCAAATTTTGGAGGTCTATCAATATAACCACTTTTGAACCATGCATACTTAAAAGTATTATGATACCTCGGAGAAGATAACTGATTATGTACGAGGGATTGCATTTTTATGATAAAATTTCTTTCGTGTAAATTGATATTGTATTGCATTAAAATAATAAAATCAGATAGCTTTCTTACAAAATTCTTCCAGAATCGAAAACCATAAACATCCAAAGGGTGAAATTTACCTGTAGTGCCAGGCGGTATTGTCATTACCATTAAACTTATTTGTTCCGGTACAACTTCTTGTACGGTATTATTACATTGCCCACTCCAAGAGTCTAAAAGTAAGACCGATGAATTCCCAGTATTTTTTAAAAATACTTCTTGCATCCACGTCTGAAGCAGTTGCTTAGAAAGCTTTTCAGATGTAGAAGCTTGGATTAATACATTTTCTGGTGTAAATAATGTCTGTCTAACTCGAGGCCCAAAGTCTCCACTTGTTTCTTTCAATACTAAAAATAAAGGTGAAAGCAAATTACCCTCTGCTGATATAACAGGTTGAATAGTGTAGCTGTGTGTTAAGGAAGACAGTGATTGTGCTATGCTTTGAATTTCTTTCAGTCCTCTATAATTTAATGTTCTACCACTGTGAATCTTCAAAGTAACTGAATCTGATCAGAATTATATACATTGTTTGCACCGTATCTTGTAAGCAATTGTTTAATTTCAACTCTAAAAGTTTCACATTGATTTTCAAGTTCATCAATATTTTTCAATGAATCTGTTGTAACAATTTTAGTGATTTTTCGAGATACTATATTATGTTTTTTTTTAAATTGCCAGATCCACCAATTCGATGCTTTGAACAAAGGCATAGCTATTTCAGCTTTTTTTTTGTAAAGCCCATCTTTTCAAATCAATATCATGTACAGTCATCTTCGATATCATAGCTTCATTAAAATTATTAAAAACATATTCTGATATCTTGAATAATTTATCATATCTACTGTCTCCTGCTTCAACTTGCTGTTTCCATCGTCGTAATTATCGCTCGCTAGTTACTTGTTTGTATTTGTGCTTTACAGTATTAAATGAATAAGGCTTACCTTTTCCACTCAACCAAAACTTTACTGCTTCTTCTTTATATTTAAAGTCAATTTTGTCTTGCTCACATGGATTATTTAATTCTTCTAAAAAATCCTCAGATTCTTCGTTTTCCATGTACTCAATAGCTTCTGGATAAATTTCATTTTCATCGCAAAAATACAATGTCGTTTCTTCTTGAACATCAACATCAGAATTTTCTGCATGCTGTCTTATTATTTTCTCCAGTATGTTGTGCATTTGCATTTCTTCGTCACTGATTAAAAACTTTGGTTCGTCATTATTGCTCCGATCAAATGTCATTGAAAGTAAGGTTGTTACAACTTTTGCATCAACAGGCATTTTTTAAATATATATAGTATCCAATATGTACGAATAGTGAAAAGCCTGATTTGACAAGTCACGCAATCAAATTCTGAGCTCAGAAATTTCGATGATAGTAAAACTAATTATTTTCAAGTAGTCTTAACAGATTTATGAACAATCTTTTATATGAATTGTGTATCTAAATGCATTGGCACTTACTGAATATATACAGTTGTTATGTGATATAAGTACTATTTTAAACTAAACTCGACCTTTCATAAAACGTGTTTTTATATTTTTCCTTATGAGCAAAATAAAATAATATTATAAAGATAACAAAAACCGAACAACATTGTCAAAAATATTCAGTGGTTAACTATTGCGGCACTGCTTCCGCATATTAGTATCAATATGATTAATCAATCGCGGTTTCCGCATTTGCAGTGGTCAATAAAAGAATAACAATAAAGTGCCTGCAATATTTTTATTACTATTATTGTTATATATATAATTAATGCTGTCAAAATACAAAATTACTTATTTGGTGATAAGATTTTATATTCATATGCACATCAATGTAATACATGGATTATAGGTAAACAATACGATGAGGAATATAAGAAAATCAATAACAATTCATAATAATACATCTCCTAATAATAACAATATATTAATAATAATAACAGAAATCATAATAAACTGTCAATTGATTGATAATAGTTTTTTCAGAAAAATTTTTAACTAAAATAAAATTATTTTTGAGCCAGAAAAACTGCGTAAAAATCATTTTTCAAAAAAATTGGCATAATATTTATAATAAACGATAGAAAAAAATTAAGAAACAAAAACAAGCGAAGTTTCTGAAATTCACAAAGTCCTAAAAACCACAGGTTTTTGGTGCCACTTTGGGACTCAAAATACAAATTATTTCGGTAAAATTTGATATCACGTTTGAAAGTGTAATTTCCCCCATAATTCGAATCTGCCATAAGCAACAGTAGTTTCCATTTGAAATTTTCAAGTTGAGCCAGATTTGAGCCAGTTCTTGGAATTGGACCCAAAAAACTGAGTTTCCCATTTGAAAGAACGAAAAACATTACAAAAGAAACACTGTAAATCTTTTCAAGTGCAAAAAACATGACTTTTACACATATTTGAGGTTATGTAAGATCATAAGATAATTTTTTTCGGTCAAACTAATTAATATATCTTAAAGTATGAGTCTTTCCTTTCAAAATGAATTTTGAATCGTTCAGATATCTTTTTTTTCACCGAGATATGATAATTTGAATTTAGCGCCTCGCCAACTTACGCAAAAAAACACGACTTTACACATATTTGAGGTTATGTAAGATCATAAGATAATTTTTTTCGGTCAAAATAATTAATATATCTTAAAGTATGAGTTTTTCCCTTCAAAATGAATTTTGAATGGTTCAGATATCTTTTTCTTTCACCGAGATATGATAATTTGAATTTAGCGTCACGCCAACTTATGCACTTCAAGCGTATGTAGATAATTATAATTGGCAACCCTGTTTTTACCACCGAAATTACCGTATGGGCCGCTAAAAAAAATACGTGTCTAATATTTTTTGATACTCTAATCGTATGCAAAGTTTAAAGAAAATCGGTGACGGATATCTCCCTGCCTTCCCTTGTAAGTCATTTAGTGCAGCTTGAAAAAAAAGAATCGGTAGAGATTTAGAATCTTGACAATCATAAGAATCACTATCTGCAGACTCTTGGAGATCTCTTTTCTCACCACCCATATTAATATCAGCATTTTTCTTCCAACTTGGAGAGTTAGGAGGGATATCATCAGGTTTCATCATCACAGGTTTCATGACACTTGATACATTTGGATACACTAGTTTATGAGAATTTTTAGAATTGAAGCCAGTAGTTTTAGTTAAACAAAAATAGCAGTCATCGTGACTAAAAGGCTCCCGCTATAACATTGGTGTTTTGAAAGACATGAGTGTAACTATACTGCGACATTATTCCAACGTCTTATAGTTTCAACACAGGATTTACAAGCTTTATGTAGAACCCAAGGTTTATCTTGACTTGAAATCAATATATTGAAATATCTCTTTTAAAACTGTTTGATACTTTTATTATGTCAATTTTTTGCTTCGAAAACATAAAACTACCGTGGATTTAACAAAAATTGTCTGAGTCATTTGAACACCTATGAACATCCATTATAAAGAAAACGAAAATGTGAAAACGGCTGATAGAATATACTATAAACAATTCAAGGTAAATATGAGAACGTCTGATGAAGACTTCAAAGAAGAACTCACCAAGAGCAGAGTCGTGAAAACGACTGATGAAAACTGTTCGTCGATAAATCCTTCCTGGGAAGGTAGCCGTGATAATGGTGTTTGAAAACTGTTTAGAAAAACTCTCCGTGAATGACGTCACAAAAAAGAAAGCGGCTTACCAAATAATTTTATCGTATGTACGGGGTTATGATACTGACCCAATAAGGAAATTAAAGTTCAAGGGTCTCGGGTACTAGCGTTGCAGGTTACAGGAATTGAGGGTTAAAGCAAGTAGGATATAAGAATTTGGGGTTATAGCGTTGTAGGTTACAGGGCTCAAAGTTTAATGAAATAGGGATTTAAGGGTCTGGGGCTATGACGTCGTAATTTACAGTGCTCGGGGGTTATGGAAGTTAGGGTATAAAGACGTGAGGTTATAGACTTGCATATGTCACATGTACGCATCCGGGAAAATAGCAGTATCGGGACTGCTAAAATACTAGATTTAAATCGACAATATCTCGATGAAAAAAAAAGATATCTCAAATCTTAAATATAGGTTTTAAAGAGTAAAAGTATACCCTTTAGATGGTATTCCCGTTTTCATAAAAAAAATTTTTCCGCGTTGTTATGGAACCTCAAATATAATAAAAAAACTGCCTGTTTTGCCCTTTTAGGTTAGGATATCTAAAATACTTGACGTGATGGACAAATTCTCACTCGAGATTCAAATTCTACGCAAAAAGTTACTTCGGAAATGGCCTTCCGTTGGCCAACAATAATCACAACCCCTTATTTTGCAGATCTGTGTAATTAATAACTGTTTCGGGTAGGCCATAAAAAAGCTACAATATGATGTAAATCAAATTTTTTACGATACAGGCATAAATCAAACGTTGGCAGAAAAGTTTTTAATTTTCAAAGTTGAATTCTCGTTAGAAAATATTAGAAAATGGCATCAAAGTCCTTTCAAGTGCATCATGGGTGTAATTTCAATACTGATATAATTGTATTCAACAAAATAATATTGGAATCTGACATTTCATTACTTATTTTTTTGGTAAAGAAAAAATTTACCTACCTTCTGGCCACTGCATACAAACTGAAACAAAAATCGAATTTAGTACGTTTGATTGCATTTCTTGCATAATAAATATAATATATACAGATAATAAATGATTTTTATTTAAAATGCATATAAATGGTATTTTTCTTTAATATCACAGGATCAACATCATTATATCTTTACTAGTTGTTGGAAATATTAATTATTTAATAATATTTATTCAATTTGTTTGCACAGAATATTGGACCGGCTGATTTCATTTCAATTGTTATTTTTGACACACGGGAACTATTTTATTTTATTTTGAAAAATTTTAGCCAAAATGAAAAATACGCGTATAATCCTATAAAAAATAATGTTTTAGAAGTTAAAATATAACGAATAAATATTTGTTAAGCGGTGCGCGAGTAATAAGGAGTAACCGTAACGGAAAATAGCAAGTGCGAAAGTGAGAGACCGACTAAAATCTTTCTACGATATTTAGTCACAACACTCACACCTATATCTCCGTCAAAAGATGATTATTAGTTAATTTTTTGCGTATCTGAGATGGTATAACCGAATCACACAAGAAAGCAACAATAGTAAATGGAAACATGTATAATCTGCTTAAAAAATTATCGTAAAATATACTTATGATCGTTAACGAAGAAAACAACTTTGGAAATTTTGAGCAATAACTCTCAAAAACTGTAATTCTTTCCACGATTATTTTAAACTTTTATATATTATTCTTTAAATATTATTTTTTCTTTCTAGTCAATCAAATCTCTAGACTAAAGATGAATTATTAATAATTGTTAAACAATGACAAAATAATGGAAAGAGTTCAACTATTCACAGGTACAATTGTATGCAACTGTCCGGCCAAAGATAATTTTATGTTTTAATAATGTATAATGTAATGTTAATATCACCTATTATTCATAATATTGCTCGTACTCTCGTGATCTGTCGAGTTAATGAGTAAGAATTTGTTTCAATTTTGAAAATGCTTATGAATATTAACTTTCAAATAAAATTATAAATAAATATGTATAATTATATGAATCGACTTTTAAGGAAAGATAGACTTTACCCTAGTTTCTTATCGTGCTAAGTACCACATAAGCAGAGCTTAAGTATTTCTTATAAAAGGATGCAATTGAGCACAAATTTCTAGCGCGAAGTATTCCATAAGTCGAGCGTAAATTACAATAGGAAAGAAAGGATTTGCTCAGTTAATCACTTGAGAGAAAGAACTTAGGTATTAGCCAAGTTTATTCGATCTCGAGCGCTCATTTTACAAGGCTAGGAGTAAATACTGCCTGTGCAAAAATCAGCGTATTATTACACAGATTTTCCCGCCTATTTTCGCAGGACAGCTCTCTTCAAGTTGTCTACACAATTATGCGAAATCATTTTTTCTAATTTACAAGAGAATAAACATTAATAAAGAAATTCTAAAACATTTAAACTTTACAGAAGTAGATATAGATAATTTAAATGTAATTTACAATTATCGCAAAAGGTATAGTCAAAAGGTATTAACTAATAAATTTAGTTGCTGTGATAGTGCAATATTTACAATAAAATAATGATAAAATTTTACATATATCAATAGCTTATTACTAGTAGAAGTAAAACCTAAAAAGAATTACTTAAATTAGTTAAAACATTTGAATAATAATAATCAATTTTCGTATTCGTAACGGTTTTTTGTAAAATCTTATAATGCTAATACTAGATTAGTTAATTAAGATCAATAAATTATAAAGTTGTCGTTGTTATGTACAAAATTAACGCTTTCGATCTATATACAGTTATTTATTTAAATAAATTATTAATTGTTTATTTCTTGATAACAGTACTAACTAAGCTGTTATCAATGAATCGAATTCTTGCTCATGTTTCTTAGATAATCATCTCGAATTATCGAAGAGTATCCGCTTCATTCTAATAATTAATATTTATAATGTAATAAACAAATTAACTTTGCATATTAAAATTTAATATATCTTAGTAGATAAAAGCAATTAAAACTATTATAATCTAAATCTATGCCTTAAAATCTATATAAAAAATGTTTTGTTTCATTGAAATTACTCTTATATAATATATTTTAATGAAACATCAAAAACTATTATATCCATATCTATAAGTAGGTAACGTCACGCTCCTTATATAACCATGAAATTTGACTAACAAGGAAACCCCCCAACCCGACCTCACCGATTTCAATAATCTTTTGATATGTTATAGTTCATCAAAAAATAAGACATACGTATTTTTTTTTATCGGCGGAAAAACACTTTGAGGGGGTGAAAACAACCCTCAAAGTTCACCCCCAAAAATAGATTTTCCAATGTATCTCAGCATCTAATTGATATTTTACGACCAAACAAATTTCATATCACTTCTCATGTGAAAAGCAAACTAGCACATGCAATTCCGACCAACAGGGATGCAACCCTTATTTTTTTTATTTAAAATACTATCTATTTCATGGCTATTTTTATGAAAAAAATTAAAATAACCCGAAAAAAATTAGAAAAAATATTACCCTACATAAAATACAAAAATAAAGTTAATCTAGTCAAGCTTTTTTTCAAACTACCCCCTTAAAGTTGAAAAACCACCCCTAAAAAATTGTTTTCAATACATTACAGGTGGTGTTGATAATTTAGTGTAAAATACGTTAAGCATCATTTATACTGTACAAACACAACTATCTCGTGCAGTTTCGACCACAAGGGTTGCAACCCCTAATTTCTGTCATCGAAATTTTTACCTTCTTTGTACCTATTTTTTAAGAAAAGTTCATAATGAGCTTAAAAAATTGGAAAAATTATTATCGTGGATAGAATACGAAAAATATGTACCAATTCAAGATTATATCACCCAACAAGACCCAGAACTGGGACAACGTTTTTCCAAAGTATTTTGTTGCGCTGATTCCGAATCTGTCCGGAAAAATGATCCATCACCCAGTAGCAATTTCTAAAACTCCCCTTATATCCCAATGGCAATTTCCCGCACTAACCCGCACTATCAGAATGCTTACAACCCCCCCTAATAACCCCCTAAAAACCTCCAATGAAAATGCCGTTAGCCCCCCACTAATAGCCCGAAGACATAGCTGAGCCCCCTTGCAACCTTATGGCAATGCTTGCAACCCACCGAATAACATAATGGCAACGTTATCAACCCTGCTAACTACTGGGGTTATTAGGGGGTTATTAGGGGGAGGGTCTTATTGGGGGGGGGGGGAGTTATTAGGAGGTTAATTGGGGGTTGTAAGCAATGCCATTAGGGGATATTAGGAGGGTTATTAGGGGGAGGTTTATTACCATCGCCATTCGGTGATTAGGAGGGTTGATAGCATTCCCATTGTTTTTGTTGGTTGAGTTTTTCTCCTTTCTTGTGACTAAAATTGTAAACTGCCAAGTAATATATATTTAATTGATTTTTATATGCGTTACTATAATTCATTCAGTTACCAATTAAAAACAATCAAAAAAATTAGGACGGATTTATTGTTCATACTTCTTACAATAATGATATTCTTCATAGAAGTACTCGAAACATAATGATTTGTTGCACCAACCGCAACGTATAATAGCCACATTCTTGCATCCTTCTATGTCACAATGTGTATTGCAGGAATCTCCAAAACTGTAAGCAACAGGATTGTCAAAATTTTCTGGTTTTTTAGTGAGGTAACCACTCTTGAACCAGGAATATTTAAAAAGATTAGTATATCTTGGTGAAGATAATTGATTGTGGACTAACGACTGAAGTTTAATGATGTTGTTTCTTTTATGTAAATCCAAATCATAATTCATCAAAATTACGGTATCTGAAAATTGGCGGACAAAGTTCTTCCATATGCGAAATCCAAAAACATCAAGTGGCTGAATTTTTCCCGTTGTGCCAGTCGGTATTTTTTAAAATTTATAATTTTATCACGTGGAGTTCCAGGTTCTATGGCACTGTCACAATGACCGCTCCAGGAGTCAAGCAACAGCATCGTATTGGAACTTACATTAGGGAAATATACTTTTTGCAGCCATATTTTAAAGAGATCTAAAATCAAAAATCTTATTTGTAAAATCATTTATAATGACATTAATTGTAACTAGATGGGATTATGTATACCTGTAGTCAACTTTCCAGATTTAGATGCTTCTACGTAAACATTTTCGGGTCTAAATAAAGTGGTTTCAACAATGGGTCCAAATTCACCGCTAGATTCCTTCAAAACTAAAAAGAGTGGTGACAGTAATTCTCCTGCGGCTGATATGAGTGGCTGTATAGTATAACTGTGGGTTGTTGAAGAAACTGACTGTACTAAACACTGTACCTGCTTTTCTACTTCAACCGCTAGCGTTCTTCCGGAGTGCATTTCCAGTTGGAATCCGCTCTGATCAGAATTAAACACATTATGAATTCCAATTATTCTTATGCCTGCTTTAACATCAGCAATAAAAGTATTTGCTTTAATCGTTAGTTCTGAATTACTTTCTAGTGTTTTCTTGGTTATAAACTTATTTATTTTCCGGGATACTATTCTATGAGCTTTCTTGAATTTACAAAGCCAGTTATCCGAAGCTTTGAATCTTACATCTTCTGATCCTGTAATCTTTTGAGCTTGCAATGCCCATCGACGTATGTCACGATCGTGAATGATGTAACCAGCGTCTACTGCTGCTTTAAAATTATCAAAAGTGTACTGACAAATTCTTGCAATTTTTTCTCTATAAGTACCACCTTTGTTGACTGTATGAGCCCAACGTTTCAACTGACTCACAGATGAAACTTTCTTAAATATTTGACGTACACTTTCAACACTTAAATTTTTTTTTGCCACTTCTCCAGTATTCTATGGCTCTTTGCTTATATTCAAAACTGACATCTTCATTGTCTTTGGTACAATGGTCGGTGGGTGCTTCGAAATCGTCAGGAAAATGGTGTTGAACTTCATCTTCTACTATTTTTGCAGCATGATCTTTGTAATCTTCTTGAAAATCTAATGTATCTTCAACGATCATATCTAC